GGCCCACTCGTAAAAGATTGAGGTCTTGATTGCGTTTTTGTGTTCATAAAAGCTGTTGCATCAGGAGTATGAGTTATTGGACCTTTGTCCTAACAACCCGTGCCTTTGGGGATAAGCCCACGAGGAGTCAGTAATCTTTGGATGACACAACAGCCTGGGTGACTTTGCAGCGCCAAGTCTGGACCGACTGAATATTGCTGTAAAACGATTGACCATTAAGACATTCAGACATCCAGACCACCAAAAGTAGCTTTATTAGACTCGTGAGGTCAATCTCAACCATGAATGCCAGTGGTGCAAAAGTGGGACTGGGTACAGACGATTGGTTGCAAAGCCTCCGAGTCGGTATAAAAGTATCCCCACAAAAGACATCCCTGCTAAAGGTGTCCTGCGATACCGTGACCACAACCAATGGTTTCATACTCCGAACGGGACGACACGTTTACATAGAAAAATCGAAACCCCCCTGTCGGTTATGGCGATCGGTTCACTATCTCCAATTAGGCCAAACACTCTCATTGGAGACAGCGGAAGACAACTCATAACGAATGAACGGACTCAACGTACCTTACATCTAGCTGTCAATCAACAAGAGAGACATATCATGATGTCTACTAGACTGAATTGATGTACCGTAGCATGCCATTTGTAAAGAGAATGGTATTTAAAACCGCCCGGGCACTTCTCTAAGGTTAGCCACTTTGCCCTCTTCCACAAATCCACCATCTGCAATGGTTTATGTTTCTAAGCTTTCTTTGCTTTAAATGCTTTATGCTGCTACCGGCCACGAAGCTAGTAAAGATTGCTTTGGGCTATTAATCCACATATATGATATCCTCATTTTCCAGTTGTCTTGTAGCTGCTACTGCGGCTTGGCCAGATCCGTGAGTGGCAGTGGCATCATGGGCATTATTAGCTCAAAAATATTAGCCGGAAATGTGGCTATCTTAGTCGTCGAGCATATATAAATTTCAGTCGCTCATGAGCTATAGTCTATGGATAAGCCTTTGGATCTAGGATGGTGCTAGTCAACACACATTATCTCCGACCAGGCGAGGTCACTTGTGGACGAAAAAAACTTTTACAAAAGCACTTGATAATATATACAGAAGAATAGACAAAGAGATGTAATATGTGCACGATGGTATTTGGCAAGGGAACTGAATGTGGAAACATTGTTATGATTTGAAGCGAGAAATTGATCACTCGAATCGGGAAATGGTCTACAGAATGCTTTGCGACTATAAAAAGGCATGCCAGTGATGAGTGCTGTGACTCGCTGCACAGCATTTTGGTTCTGTCCGTAAACCATCGAAAGCTCACCGTAAGACGAGAGGAAGGAATCCTACTGCGCATTAATGCTTATCGACCGCGTTATTCTTCTGCGCCACAAAATAATATCAAAATGTAAATATCTGGCTTATCTAAGGGAATTTGCTTTACTAGGCAACATATGCTACCACAGTTACACTGGATCAAAATGGATATTTCTTGAGCCAAGTAAATGCTTCAACGCTTTTAGCACATATACCCAATCCTTTGATAAGCGAAACGCAAGGTCCCCTTTATAGACGCTCACTGAAACATTATTTCATCACAAGAGATGATCAATGAGCTCCCTTGGTATCGTAGAAAGGAATCATGATACACTCAATCTTGGATGCCATCTTGACCTCAACGGCAGTCATGGTATGCCCGTCGAACCTTGAAATCGGATGGTCTGGTACTGCCACCAAGCGATTACCATCCGAAGTTGTTTCGTCAAGATAAGACTTGAGACGCTGTTGGCGAAGAGATTTTTTGTGGGTAGCGGTTTTGCGGTTGGAAGGTTGCGGGTTGGCAACGCCTTGGGAGTTTCTGAGAACGACATGTGTTAGTCGATCTACAAAGTGACGACCGAGAAAGAAGCAAGAAGTACCCAGCTACAGCAGACGACATACTTATTCCCCTCCTTATTGTGGAAAACGGAACAAGATTGAGCTTTGCGAAGACAATGAGTCGAAGGCAAGTACGGTTAGATCAGAGGACTCTTACAGAATGGGAGATATTTGATATAATAAAGAAGCACAACGAG